GTATACGGACCCCCAAGGACAGCACAGCACCCCAGGGCTGGAACAGGAGTGCAGGGAGGCAGAGGTTACAAAAACCAGAGCAGAGAGGACTTGGGGAGCCTGCTGCCTCTCAGGGGTGACCCCTAAGGAAAGTCTGGAGGATATGGTACCACAGACTCTCTCCTTCCTCCCCAGTTTCTGGCTAGGGCTCCCCATAGACCTGACCCAACAAGGAGCCAGAGGGAAGGGAGCCCACTGACCTAGGCCCCATAGCGCAGCTCCCAGTTCATAGCACAGGGTGGAAAAGGGTGCAGGACAAATCTGGAGGGCAGACAGAAGATTCCAGCACAGCCCCTGGCACACGGTAGGCATCCACGTGTTTTTGAAGTATTCTCATTTTAAATAATGAAATATTGAACACGTAGAGACTACCCATTGTACCCACCATCCATATTTAACACAAAGTAACATTTTGTCATATTTGTTTTATATTTTTTTAAGTAAAATAACGTTAACTAGAGCAAAAGTCCCTCTTACCCCATCCTTCCTTTCTTTCCTGTAGAGGTATCTACTCTCCTGGGACCGCTTTATGTTATTCCTGTGCAGGTTTTTATATTTTACTGCATATCTACTCATGTACAAACATATATACTCTTGTTTTGCATGTTTTAAAATGTTTACAAAAATGGCATCATGCCTCAAAATAAACATCCTTTTGCACCTTACACTTTCCACTCAGCATATGCTTCTAGGATTTAATTTGTATTGATACCTATAAATCCAGTTTCTTCACTGTTTTTTTGCTCTGTAGGATTTGTTGGATAAATAGACCACAGCTCATTCATCCATTTCCCTCCTGAGGGGCATGTAGATTGTTTCCACTTTTTAGCTGTTATACACAGTGCTACACTGAGCATCCTTGTACACGTGTCTCCTTGTGGATGTCTGTAGGAGTTTCCTGAGGGTGGATTCCTAGAATTGGAATCACCTGCCCGCAGGGGCATGGTATCTTCACCTTTACTCGCCATTGCTATTTGTTTTCCAAATATTGCACACTGCCCTGAGCCCTGAGCCAGCATTCCCATTCTTTCCCACCCTAGCCAATACTTGATATTGTCAGGCCGATTAATTTTTTACAATCTAATAAGGTAAGAGTGTTTTTTCTCACTTTTACTAAAGTATAATTTGCATTCCCGTTATCCCCAGTGAGATTAAGCACATTTCCCTGTAGTGATTGGTCATGTGGGGTTCCTCTCTTGTGAATTTCCCATTTGAATCCTTTACCCATCATCTCTGTGTGGTTTGTCTCACTTTACTGATATTTGAAATTCTTTTTTTTTTTTTAAAGATTTTATTTATTTATTTGAGAGCGAGAATGAGAGACAGAGAGCACGAGAGGGGAGAGGGTCAGAGGGAGAAGCAGACCCCCCGCTGAGCAGGGAGCCCGATGTGGGACTCGATCCCGG